CACCCAAACCACTCTGGGATTCTGTGATAATCTCCAACCAGCTGGGGGGAGGCAGGGACGTGCCCACACACGCTGCAGGACCACCGCCGGGGGTGTTTGCTCTCGATAGCTGCCTCGGTCACCGCTTTGGGACACGGAGCCAAGCGCTGGCGGATGCTCCCCGTAGTGAACCCAGCACGGACCCTGAATCCGTGCCTGTCCAAACCGTGCTCCTGGGTGGTTTGTATCCCGGCAAGACAGGACTTGACGCTGAGCAGACGGCGCACGCATCCCTTGGCAGCTCCCCCCAGCCTCAGCCGGCTCCTGCGGGGACGTCGCCCTTATCGGTATCTCTGCATTTGCTGCTGATTTACGCCGCTGTTAAAGAGAGCAGCCTGCATCTCCCCCATCCCTTACCTTTCATCTCGAGGTTTTTGTTCTTCCCTTTTGTGCTGAGGGCTCTGATCTCTCTGGAGAAGCCCTTTATGTACCCTGTTTGCCTTCCCTTCCCCTGGCTGGGAAAACAAAGGGCAGCCTGACACGGTGATTCATGGATAACAGAAAAATCCCCCACTGCTCCTCCAAAGAGCAGGATTATCGGTGTATTTTTTCCCACTGGTGTTTAATCCTTGAGCCTCTTTGTTAATCTTTGAGCAGGTTAATAGCGATAGGAGGAAATGTATGCTTATAGCAAATACTTGAGCATCCTCTGCCAGGGGGAGGGAAAAAAAAAAAAAAAGAACCTGGTGATTTATTAATGAGGATTTTCTTCTGATTCATAGCAACACGCTGTGAGCAAAGCTGTCAAGCAAAGGTTTCCTCGTTTGCCCTTCCAGGGGGGTATGTGTGCCTGTGCGTTGATGTCAGTCAGATCAACAGGTATAGATGAGAAGATGAGTAACCCGAAGAAAAACGACTGAGAGGAGAGGGCAGAGAGAGGCGGAGGGTGATGGCTTTGCATGAAGCATGGGAAAAAAAAAATAAAATGCAGCGTTCTGCTAGGGCAGGAGTGTGGAACCTGGAGGAAATCTTATAATTCCCAGGAAATTAAAAAAACCCCACCAAATAAAAAACCCACCAGGAATAATCCTGTAATTCTAGAGGAAGTCAGGCTCGGTGGTGAGCTGCAGGCTGGGTACGTGTTCGAACGCAGCTCTGATATTCTGCAGGTCCTCCTGTCTCTCCCTGCCTCAGTTTCCCCACAAGGCACGTTAACATTCCTCCTCAAGCATTTTAATTGTTTGTATTGGTAGAATACAGACAAATCATTAGTATTCCCAAACCACCGCTCAGCCTGCTGGGTGACATTGTACAGGCTCTGAGTAAGTGGCTGGAATCGCTCCCCGTCGGAGCAGAGACCGGCGCAGAGCAGCCGCGGGTTTGGCTGAAGGGCTGCAGACTCTGCGTCCTCCCCCCTTGGTGAAATCGTTCCTGGCTGCGCGATTCGCGTTTAAGAGGAAATATGGAGGATGTTGGGCTGTGTTAAAGAGCATCCAGCACCTTGCCCTGGTTCACCGGGGCTCGTCCTGCTTTGCTGGGAGCCCTTCCTCTGGAGCTGGGTCAGAATGTTCAGCTGGCTCGTGACCCGGGCTCATAAAACCACACAATGGTGGGGGGGAAGGGACCTTAAAGCCCACCCAGTGCCCACCCCTGCC